CCCGTGGCTCAGGAAGCGACTCATGGGACCAATACATTGAGAAGAGACCAAGGGAAGAATTTTAGCAATGGTAACTGCCTTTTAATTATATTAAGTTTCTGAAAATGTTGGCTTTGCTGAATTTTTGGTGCACACACTGGCTACTTAGAAAAGCTTCAACTTGACCACTTGCCCCTTTCTTTTTAAGTTTACTATAAAGTGAAAACAAAACAATTCATGGGGCATTTGTCACCATCTCCCTCTGCTTTGTGGGCAGAAAGTGGAAATACAGTGGTCTTCTTTTCAATGTTAAACAAAGCTTTCTCCTTCGCCCACCACAGTGGAGGTGAGCGGCTCCTCTTCTGCACGTTGTTATGTGGGGGGCAGCATCACTACAAATCTCAAGTCCTAGACCATCCATCTTTTTCTGGACAGTTCTTCAAAAGGAGCACTAAGGAATTTTAGGGCATACAAAGTCTTGGTTTGTCTAAATAAAATTTTAAATCAAAATTGAGGCAGCCACAGGAAGGACAGATTAAGCAGTTACGAGAAATACAAAGCAATTTATAATCCCAGCTTGTTTCAGAAAAATGCAGTAGGGTGAATGGGACAGAATGTATGCCCCTCCCTTGACAGAAACAGGGTTCTTGGAGCGCAGAGCCTGGAGCCATGTCTGTTCCTGCATCATGCCCCAGGATAGCAACTCCAAGTATGCTTGATATATATATGCAAAAGTGGTTAATCTGAATTATTTTAAACTTGCAAAATCAGACGCATTTTATAACATAATTGGAGAAGCAATCCTTAGAAAAAGATGTTTGCTTCAAAGTGTAAAGGAGTCATCTTTAGAAATGTTACCAGCTGGACCTCTGCAGGTTCCAGATGATTGACACTAGATGAGAGAAAAGACAAGGGTTGGAACTGTGTCTCAGGAAGATGTGGCTTGGAGGAACAGACTCAGAACTGGAGGGAGGGGGGAGGGGGGAGGGGAGAGGAGGGACAGATAGAAAACTATCCCCATTTTTTTTTTTTTTTTTGCACCTTAGTACTTATTGACTCCAGGTTTTCTCTTTGAGGTTTCAGAGAACAGGCAGTTTATGTTTAGTTGTTGAAGGAATCGTATTAAAAATATTTTATAACAAACCCCACACGAGTATGGAGATGCAGAGCTAGCTGTACATGTTTTCAAAGGCTCTTCATACCTCCTGATAAACTGCACAGGAAGACTATGTGAGAGCCTGGACTCTTGGAGAAGTTTTAAAGGAAGCACTTGACTCCCATGTGGTCACAGAAGCATCTTCTAGACCATGCAATCAGGATATGCGCTTCAAGTCACAAGTCAGATCTAGAAAAAGTAGCCCTTGATAGAGGTGCCAAGCCTGCCATGTATGGAATTCTCTCCCAAGCACACAAGCTGCTTTAATTCAACTGCTAACAACTGGGATTTCCCTGGCTAGTATAGGATGGGGTGAGGCATAAACCAGCCACCTCCTGTGCTGTGGTCTGGACATCTCAAGGTCAAACATGCTGAGCCTTTAACAACACACACACACACACACAGAGGGCACTGAGGCCCAAACATTAGGCTTGGCTTTAGAAACAGGTCATCTCCAACCCGTCCTTCTGGCTGGAATCTTCTGCAGAGGAACACAGTAGGGGAGCCCTCTGCCCATGACAGTTTCCAGTGGTTCTTCTCCAGAGCAGGCAAGGCTTTTACTATTTCCTAGTAATACATTTTTATATGATGCAATGTAAATGAACTACTATGCTCGATACAGAATGCAAAAAAAATAAATTTTTTTCTGGATATGATAGTGCATACCTTTAATCCTAGCACTTGGGAGGTATGGGCAGGTGGATCTCTGTGAGATCAAGGCCAGTCTGTTCTACATAGTGAATTCCAGGTCTGCCGGGCCTAAAGGGAGCCCCTGTCACAAAAAGATTTTTTTTTTTTAATTTCTCAAGTTGGATGAGAAACTGAGTTCAAAATAGATAAGGAAGCAGAGTTTTGCTATTGGGAGAACTTAGAGTCTAATTATCATAGCAATCTTAGGCAGACCCTTAACTCACTCAGGGGTCTCTGTAACATAAAGAGGAGGACTGTCTGTTTTTGTTTTTCCAGTTGAATTTTCCTATGTCAAGGCAGAGCCACATTCTCTTTAAGAAGAACAAGAGTAGAATCTTAGCAAACCCCCTGAATACACCCTTGTCTCCTGAATGCCTTGATTTCTCTCACTCTAGCATTTGATCTGCATGTCTATGGTAATAACTTATAAATCAATGAAAAGCATGATAGTCATTTGTTATCTCCATATTGGAAAACAATCCTCTCTCAGTTGAGTGTTCACACCCACTTGGCCACCACTGCTTCTGACTGTGATAGGGAAGCACTGTGAATGGACCATATCCCCCACCCTCTACACTGCCGGGGCAAAGCAAGAACCAGTTGATATAGACCTTGGGCTGAGGCTGCCAGTGCTGGACAGGGCAGTGAGGGCCGGGCAATGAAAGAAAGCAAGAGGCAATGGAGACCCGAAGGGGAAAATCTGCTTGCTGTAGTCTGCTTTCCAACCAAGAGGAGCTGGACCCATCAACTCAGGCCACCTAGTACAGCCCTCTTGCTAAGTGTGTTAGTAGGTGCTCAAATACACATGGGTTTGTGAGAGTAGTTCTCAAACTTAAATTCCTGTGCCACAGCAGAACAGAACACGATAAAGCAACTCTAGCATCCATCACAGCACCCAACAGACAGTGGCAGGACACAAGCCACAGGTCTGCAGCATGGGCTCAGAATCTATGCTGCTTACTTTTTATGGCTGGTGTCAGGTGGACAGCTGGCTGCACTGATACTCAGGAAGAATCTCTTCACTTCTGTGCCAAGTGCTGTGTGTGGCTGAATCCTAATGTTTTCCCCTTTGGTTTCAACTTGGATCTTAAATTCCCAAGAAGAACCCCACCACAGGAGGATGAATGTGCCTTCCATCTCTTCTGTGTGGAGCTGGAGAGATTCTCCCTCATCCAACTCACATCAATCCTCACCATGTGGCCTTATTCATTTTAATGAAAGACCTAGGCCCCAATTTGAGAGTTTCAGAGTATGTAAGGGCTCTGGTGAGATGCCCTGAGCCCTAAACCAGCTGATACCACTTCTGCAATCTTCTATCTGATCCCAGCTGCCCCAGCTTATGGGATATGATGGTTTCTTAGCAATACCCCTGAAGGAGTCAATGCTGGGAACACACTTAGTCTCACATTTGATCTTTGGATCATATGCTTTTTGCAAATATCCCTTAGAAGCCACAGCACAGTGTGACAAACATTCAAGCAGAAATTGAAAAGCACATGCAGACTCACTGCCCTGGGTGAGTTACACACAGGCCTGTGCACACATGTGTGCACATCAATAGCGTTAGGCAAAAAGGAAAGCTGAAGCCAAATTAAATCTGTTTCAGACAATCTACTTTGGAGTTGCAGAGATTTAAAGGAGGAAAAAATGCCTTTCCTCAGCCTGTGACTGACATGAATTTAAAATACAAAACCAGCATGGGTTTGACCTGATCCCCAGGAAACCAGACAAACAGCCGGGGACGCTGGGCGGAAGGGCATGTGATGGTGGCAGGGTGTGGATTTTTCTTCTTTTCTAAGAGAGACATGACCCACAGGCAAAAATCACCTAACAGCATGCAACTGCGCAGATCTGGAGACAGGATTTGTTCCCCCTTTCCTAGTGGAGGTGAAGCCCACGCCAGCTCCTGTCAATTTACAGGGAAAGAAGGATTGGGTATACTGTCACAGAAGCAGAAAAAGAGTTCAGGAAGGGCTTCCTTCATTTCTTTTCTTTTCCCTTTCCTGTAAAAAGAATTCTAGCAGTTGGCCAACCAGGTCTCAGCACACAGGACAGAGCAAAGAGCTTATTCGAAATCATTCTTGCTGATTCAAAGCCACACACTCAGAAATACCTAGTTCCCTGCCTGATTGCTGTTCCTGACCGAGTCCAGGCAGAGGCGGACAAGTCTGGAAAGAACAGGCGTGCACAGTTGCTACTATAGGGACATGCCCCCAGACTCTGCCTCCTTAGCCACAGTGCTACATAATAAATAAATTCATCCCAAGGGATTTGCACAACTGTTTCTTCCCAGGAGCTTCCTAAGGGCACTTGCTGACTTACCAGTACAGGCAGCACTAGGTTGGACAATGGTTAAAGGAAAACAAGAGGAAAAAAGAGAAGCTCCTGTTGTGGACACTAGGTCACATAGAGAGATCACATGTGGACATTACTGCTGAGTTTGGGAACACAGGAAATTTCTACCCCATTGCTGCTTGGCAAGTGTTACAGTTGGCTGGCCCAATATTTGGCTCATGGATGCTGTGAGCAGACTTTTCCTTGGTGTTGCTGCTGAGAGATGGTGTTGAAAAAGTTCTCCAATCAAGTGTGGGCCTTAAGGCAATGTTCCAGGCATCGCCACCATTGCCGATCTTTTCTCCAATCGCCATTTCTGTGAGGGACTTAGAAGAGTTTGGCTTTTTTCTTCAGGTCGTTGCGTCTCCAAAGAGGTAACTTGTCAAATTCCTGGATGGACATTCCAAAGATTTCCCAAAACACTTCTGGAGCTAAGTGACGCTGGGGAGAGAGAAGAGGGAAGCAGCTAGTCTTGGTGGTCACACCGATGACCTTGAGATGTGCTCTCTAGCTGATGAATACAGTGAGCCTTCCATATCCCTGGCTTCCGCGTCCTTCATTCAGTCAATTACAGATCAAAAGTGTGCTCCCCAAAGTGCATTTGACATGAGCATGTATGATGGTTTCCCTTGTCACTCCTCTCTAAACTGCTGTGCAGCAACTATGTGCACACAATAGTGTGCATCAAAAGATGATCTAAAACATGCAAAAGTACATGTGAAGGCAATATGCAAATATCACACCACTTTCTCTAAGACAGTTGAGCACAGCAGATTTTGTCACCTGTCCGCAGGTCCTGGAAAATCAATCTCTAGGAACTCAGAGACATTAACATCATTTTGAAGAACCGGGCAGAATGTATCCAGGCATGGCCAGGTGCAGTGTCCTTTTTGATTTTTATTTCTGAGACAGGGTCTCCTGTACCGTAGCCCTAGCTGACCTGGAGCTCACTATGAAGACCAGGCTAGCCTTGATCTTACAGAACTCCACCTGCCTCTGCCTCTCTCAAGTGCTGTGCTACCATGCCCAGTTTTGTAGTGTCCTCCTTAACAGAGCAAAGAGCTGCTAGAGGATTGCTGATACTGTTTCAAGTAGGTACTATGTCAGTGATAGGGCACAGGAAAGTAACTTATGATACTATATGACTTCAAGTCCTTGGGATGCTGAGAAAATGCAGAAGAAAAATGTATCGTAGCAACAAGTAGCCAATGAGAAAGGAACATCCAGGGTAGTCCCTGGGGAGCCCCAGGACCCATTATCAAGGGGGAAGGATTGTCTATTGGGGAGGTCTCCCATCTGTTACTGCTCCTAGTAAAATCGCCTCAGGACACTGGGGCTAGTGCTGTTTGAACTAGCCTAACCCCTTCTACAGAGGCACCGCCTTTTGTCAGGGAATAGTCATGGTTCTTCCTGCTACTGGCAGCCAGAACTTAAAGTCATTCAAATGGAAAAGTACAAAGATCAGCCTTCCATGCCTAAGAAGGCCTGGATACATATGTGTACCCAGATAACCCTTCAACAAACAATGTGGAAAGAGCCAAGAAAGAGACTTATGCAGAACAGACCTTCTAGAATGCTACTTCCTCTGCTCCCACTGGATGCAGCCCAAGCCCAAGGGAGATAAGAATTTGGGAATATATTTAAAGGGATGGAGACTCCCATGCTGCATCTCCAGGCCTAATCACAGCACCCAATTTCCAAAGAAATGATGAAAGCCCTTTGGTGCTATGTGGTGCTGTGTCTCTGGGGTAATCCAAATATTTCCAGGCATTTTTGCACACTGTTCTAACTGCAAACTTGAGTGTAAATACATTTATATCTATTGGCACACACGTTACTACTGGCCTCCCTGAAGCCAGAGAATGGCTGCTTTTATGATGTTTTTGTATCCAAACATCCATCTGTTCTCTCTCTCCTCACCATATACATTTGAGAATGGGCCCCTCTCTGGCTCATTGCTGTACTTTTAGGTATCTAACACAGCGCTTAGCATGCAGTAACGGCAATGATTGAATGCCCATGAACTCGAATCTCATGGCTTTATTTCACTGGTGATCCTTTGAGATTTTAGTTATGTCTTTATTCTACCTAGAATATAAAACTGATTTGTTAAAAAAATATCATTTTAGGTTTCCACTGGAGAAACAAAATGTTTCTTAGAGGTATACTCGGGAATGTACAGGGACCTGCAATTGGGGTTGGATTTTGTTTTGTTTCTGTTTACCTCCAGCCGGGTTCTGTCCACATCTCTTAAGATTTTGTTGCGCCCTCTGTTGGTTACCATGAGCATTTCATAAGGGAATATCTGAAACAAAGAAAACACCTCTTCTAGAAAACTATTGTCCATTTAATGAATAAACACAATCTATAACACAGCCCAGTGCTTCCAAGACAGGGTTTCTAAGAGATAATTACAAGAGCAGTTAAGTAGACTCTCCAGTATTCGGGGCAAAGGGACAGATTCTTGCACGTTCCTAGCTCTCTACCACTGTCTCATAAAGCATCGTGCCTGGGAGAGCTTTCAGAGTGCAATGCTAACTTATCAAGCATGGGCTGTGAAGGTCAGGTTAGAGGAGAAGTGAAACGATCGGCACATGTTGTCTCTTACAGGATGCTGTTAAATCACAGGATACCTTCGTGCAGGGTTCAATGTTTTCAGCTATTGTATATGACTAGGCAGGTCTAATAACTGTGTTCAGGAAGCTGATACTTCTTGAACCAGGGATCCAACTAGGGCCATCAGGGAGGACAAGACTTTGAATATCTCTGGAGGTATAGAATGTTCTGGAACTAGGGTGACCAGCCATGCCAATTTGCCCAGGACTAAGCAGGTTTGTGGCATGTTGGCCCGGCAGTCCAGGGCAGTCTTCAGCCACTCACTTAGCATTGGACATGCCTTGCAATACATGTGGTAGGGTTGCACCTAGGCCATGGGGAGAGAGGTACTGGTACCTTACTGTGAGCAGAGCACTATAGGCAATGAGGGTTTAAACCTGCAGGCTTAATGTGGCACAAACAGGGGAATGGGAAGGTGCTTTAAGACATGCTTTCCTGCGCGTGCCAGCCTAGAGCACTCTGGGCAGAGCAACCACCCAGGAAACCAAATCTCTTTATTGCACATGCTTGTGTATGAGAAGAAAGGAACAGCCACACTCACCTTTGGTTCCAACATGTTGGGCATGGACACGCCTCGGTCCATTCTCATTGCTGGCATGTGGCCATCTGGGAGAGTCTGCAACAGAATGCTGGTTCAAGGGTGAGCACAAAGAGCAGGGGAACGCAAGGGAGGGCTTTGTGTGCTCCCGAATTGCCTGCTGGGTCTCAGACCCTCCCTACCGAGTCACCATCATTGCCGTGCACTTTTCAAAGTAAGATCCTACTGAGTAAGGGTAGGGATATGACTGTCTGTAATCAACTTGGAGAAGACCATGGATGCATAATTGTGGACTAATCCCTAGATTTAGCCTACACATATGAAGGTATACACTACATAAAAAGTTGTCAGGTCTATTACTACTGTTTTCTGCTCTCTCTGTCTCTGTAGCCCAGGCTGGCCTTGAACACCAGATCTTCCTACTTCAGAACTTTCAGGTACTGGGATTACAGGTATGCATCTCCACACCTGGCTATTCTTTTTGCTCTTCATTTTAGTTCTCGAGTTTATTCTCTTTTCTCACTGTCCCTCAGTCTAACAGGGTGAGAAGGAATGGTTTAAGAGCCAACTCTTCTTTCCTAGAGGCCAAGCGCTGACTCCTTTGCATTTGGAGACAAGCAAGAAGAGGAAGGACCAAAACACCAAGAGACTGGAAGTGAAGAGAGGAAAACTGCACGTGGGAAGATCCTTCAGGCTGGCTCCCTTCCATCCCGGTGAGACCGCTCCCAAACCAGCCAAGACAGAGTCTCCCCACGTCTGGCTTTGCTCATGCCCTGTCCCTGTCCCCAAGGTCTGCGGTGACAGCTTGATCCGAACACCAGTATGCCTGCTTCTCCTGGTACGGAGCAATGGTTAGACAGGTCAACCACAGTACACATCCTCTCAACAGAAACCATTTCCCTGGAGAAGCAGCATGGATTGCAAGATGGTTTTCCCGTGTGGCCAACTCAAGAAAGACAAAGTAGTCCATACCTGGTAGTCTGAAAAGGGAAAAAAATCATTAGAGAAAGACCATATGCCAACATGGAACCATCAACAGAAATACCGAGCTGTACTGTAATTTACAAAACAGTCCCCAATGAACTATGTGCTTTACCCACTCCCAGCCTGTGCACACACTGTGCCAGCAGTCTCATTGAAGCCGGAAATGCCTGCTTCAACTTTAGGTATCCTAGATCCTCACCACATACATTTTTGAGGGCAGCCACTTATTGCTACACTTCCAGATATTCATTAGCGTGCCCAGAATGTAGTAGAGGCAGTGAATGAATGCTTAGCAACTTGCTTCTCATGCTTATATTTCTTTAGAGACCCCTTGGGTTTTTAGCACTTGCTCCATGAGCTCAGAGAAGGTAGCGGTGGTTCTACTATAGGATATGGCATGGTAAGAACAAAGGTAGTGAGCTTGTGATTACACAGCCTCTCATGAACCTGGGCTGAAAGAAATGATGTTATCATGGTCAACCTGCTGTGGGAGCCTCACCTCGCACTCCACCGCTGACATCCCCGTAGCTGTTGTACTGAGCGAAATCCGTGGAAACAGGCTGTAACAAGGAAAGTCTTATCACTGGGCGAGCTCCACAGTGGTCATTTAGAGTCAGTGAAAAGGAAGAAAGGACTTACAAGATCCTAAGAATCCTTCCCAAGCTAAAATCCTGGCTGTTCATCATTGAACTTTCCTGTTCATTCTTCAAGAACTATGAAATCTCTGCATTTTGCAGAGCATCTATGGTACTGCCCAGGAAGCTCTTAGAAAGCAAGGATTTCTTATTCATAGATAAAAATATACTTCTAGGCATAGGTAAATAACTATATTTATACTAGGTTTTGTAGAGGAAGGTGGTTGTAACCAATTCTCTTTTTATAGCAGAAATAATGGATCAAGGAATCACTTTTTTTCTTTAATGTAAAAGTATTTGCCTGCTATTGCTTAATTTAGTCCTCCTTTAAGCTCATACAGTTCATTCATTTAAAGTCAGTTTTTCTTTTCTCCTTGAAAAAGAAGTATTTTATTTTTCCTGTAACTCAAAGTGATTTACCAAGTGGTTGGGCAGATGGAAATTTTCATTATATCCCAACACCAAGACCAAGAGTCAGATTATTCGGGGACCAGTGAGATGGCTCAGCAGGAAAAGACACTTGCCTACAAGCTTGACAACCTAAGTTTATCCTCTGACCTTCACAGGTATACCATGACACATGCACAGTCACACACATACACATACCCATAGGCATGCCCACAAAATAAATAAAAATATAATAAATAAAAATAACAGATGATATGTCAGTACTTTAACCAGAACTGAGGGAGGACTGCATACAGACACAATCAGTTGAAGTCTTACCCGGTGAAGCCCGTTTTTTCCATAGCCAGGGAGAGATGAGGTTTTGGATGAGGGAGCGTGGGAAGCTGAATGAGAAAAGGTAAGAGAGTAATTTGTCCAGTCTTTCAATGAAATTGGCAGTGGAACTTCTTTCACATAATAAAAGGCATAGCAAAAAGAATTCAAACAATACTGGGTTCCAGTGAACACAAGTAACCATTTTAAGGAGGTTGCAGGAGTGACATCACAACCATGATAACGCTGAAGAGTGGTAGGGGAAGACAAACAGCCCAGGTGGGGCTGAAGTTAGCTGTGCCTCCTGCAGTTCCTGCACACAGCTAAGAATTCAGTGTGCTTTCTCTCACTGAATCAGCAATACCATCCTAGCCACACAACTATTATTTCCATTTTTACAGGAGAAAAAGATAGGACCTAAGGAGGCTTGACAAAGTTCACTCAGTTCACCAAAGACTTGAGACTGGTGACATCTGAGTGCCTATACCCCAGGCCCCAGGTGAGATGGCAGCAGTAACTGATCCAGAATCCAACATAAGACATCCAGGTGTGCTGGCCAATCCCAGCTGGGTTCCTGGAAGGTCTGTGCTATGGAATGATCCCATCTGTCAAGGGCACAGGAGGGAGAAGACCTGAGACTCTGCATCTTTGTAAATTCTACTTTTGCATCTTTGGAGATGATATTTAATCTTTTTGAAGCTTTTTCTTCATCTATGCAGTTATAATAGCATTGCATATTCACATAGACTAGAATCTCAGCATAAGAAGGAGCTCAAGAGGTTAGACAACCATAGAAGCAGGTCCTGTCTCTTAGGTGACAGTCTGGGCTATCTCTGCCTCTTTGCTAGTAGGAGGCTCTCTCTGCTCACTGGAGGCCGGGCCTGCTGCTCACCTGAGTGAATGGGAGAGTCGTAACGACTGGCCAGAAGGGATGCTCTTTCTCTGCTCTCCTTCTCCATCTCTTCCTTCAGTATCAACTGCCCCAGGCCTGAGTTAAGCTAGTCACAGAAGGAAAAAAAAAAAAAAAGAAAAGGAGAAAAAAAGAAAAATTGAAGCTAAACCTACAGTTGCTTTCATGAACTAGAGTTGCTTTTCTGGCTCAGAGTCTGGTCCTTCCATAAGAGGTAGGGCAGGTTCTAGATCTGGGAGCCCTGCTAGCTTTTCCAGTGGTGAAGCTTCTCTTCCCTAAGCCAAACTCCATGTTGAAAGAATGTTCCCCTTCCTTTGTCCTCACCAAAAGGCCTCAGAGTAAGTGTGTGTACATGATGATTTTTGATATTGGAGGGGAGATTGTGGATGGTGTCCTTACACAAGAAATTGCACTGATTTGTTTAAAAGTGAAACAATAAAAAAGGAATATATGGTCGTAGGTATTTTAGAAACTCCAGAAGAAGCTGTAACCCATCCACTGAGTCCCCCATCCACTACATTCTGATTTATACCATCTCGTATTATTTTATTTTGTGCAAAACTGGGGCTGTTCTTTGCATGCTTTCCTCTGTGTACAGAGCACCACGAGAATTTCTTGTTATCTTTGAAGGACACTATTTCAAGGGATCCATCAGCCCCTTATTGGTCAGAGAGTTTGGCATCAGCTAGCCCTTCGAGATGTCACAGGTCCTTGCAAGAAGCAGGAACACACAGAGGGTGGGGAGCAAGGGACTCTTGGTGGCAGTCCCTTGGTCCCTTGATGCCTTTTTCCTTCCATTCTAGATATGAGGTCCTCCAAGTCCTGAGAAAAAGACTTGGACAACTACTTCATCCCAAGGGAATTCCTCCAGCAGGGCCTGCATGCCCCTGGGTACATACCACCTTGGTCTGCAGGACACCTCTGTATCCTTGCAACAGGTACACCTGCATACCCACCCAATAGTCACATGCTCCCTGAAAAATCCAACAATTCCATACCCTTCTAAACCTCCGGCCCCACTGTCATCTCCTCTAAAGCCAGTGTATGTTCCTTCTTATTCTGGTGACCATATGTCTGACATGTCTCTCCTCCTGGACTATAAGTCCTGGAGGACTGGGACCACCACTTGCTTTTCTTGGTGATCCTATATAGTAGCTATTAACAAACACACAAACCCTGCCAAAACAGGGGTCATGTGGAACTGGGGTTGAGGATAGTAGAGAGGGAGTTTAAAGACAAACCTTCATCAGTTGCTCTTCTTGAAGCTGCCGGCGTCTCAGAAGTTCTTCCTCATCTTCCTCTCTGCCACTAGATCTGCGTCTCATGTCAGTTCCTAAGTCCATAGCAAAGATAACTTCTCACATCAGCCCCATGATAAGGAATCTTAACGGACTAGTCCATCTGGGTTCTCTGTCAGGCTGGCAGGGTAGGCAGTCAAAGTGAACAATACAACTAGGAAAACTGCCCAACTCAGGCCCAGGGACTGGCTTCTCAAGGGCCCTCTGTCATGCTAGTTCAGTGTGTAGTGCTGCTAAGGAGGGGATTTGGTCCCCTCCACACGTCTGTTCAATTAGAACTGGGTTTGCCATGGCAACTGAGACTTAAGCCATCACATTAGCTACAGGCCAGAGCCCGTTGTAATAAGTGGGAAGGACTATTACTTGATGATCCAGAGGTCAGCTATAAACTAGAGAGGAATTCAAATTACATACCTAAAAATTGGCAAAACAGTCGCATCACTTTCTTGTAGAAAGTTTTAAAATCTTAACAGTTCTCTTCTCCTGACAATTTCAGACTTTTCTCAGACTGATACTTGGTCCTCTACCCTTTGTAAAGTCACTGAAAAGCATACTTGGTGTGTTTCTTTCACATCTCTAACTTTCCTTTCCTTATACCGTGAAAAATGAACATGAAAGAATTTTACTACTAATAGGTAAATAAGAACAGGGCTAATACAGCTAAAAGTGACTTCAGAACGATGTATCAAATTGTGCATAATTTCTAGGCTTCTGAGAAAAGAGGAGGAAGGAGATGAAATGGAGGCGTCTGTGTGAGTGACTGAACAGTAAGGTAATTATCGTTCTTCCTAAATCCCTTGGATTAATCTGGCTGTATGAGGAAACAGGAAAGTTTGCTAATTTAATAACAATAAAAGTTAGGTAATAACCTTACTTTTTCATCATTTTGATTAATGGTGCAGATATTTTCTTCATTTTGGGACTCTAAGCAACTTAAGATTATTTAGTGATAAGAGTTTCAACAATAACATTTGACTTTCCCTGTCCTCCAAAGTTAGGTCCCTACTAAGCAATGTAACTGAGGTAAGAAATCCAAGGTCCCCATGAGCTTCCTGGAGGGCGTAGATTAACAGGTATTCTGTTCTTAGGCTTATAAAAGTCAATATGAATTTTTCTTTAGTTTATACTAATGAAAATTAATAGACCTAAGTTTGCAAGAATTAGATAAATCTTACCAACATAATTATAAAATACTTGTGGATAATGAGTGATCTCTTTATTCAACTATTCCTACAAATATTAATTGCTCTAAAATGCCTAGTGCTTGTAAAATGTATTCTAAACACATAGTTTTTAAAAATTAGACTGATGAAGATGATTAAGAATTTTTGGAAAATTGAAGGCCTTTCACATTGTCAACAGAAATATGATAGTAATCATATCTTTGTACGGCTGACCCAATTTTCAGTATTAGCTTGTGGGTTTGTTAATACACTTCTATAGACCAAGTGATTTCACTATTGACAAAATGGTAAAAAGACACAGACACAATTGGAAAGCAGAAGCAAAGAACATGGCTCCAAGGTGATATTTTTAGCACAGGACCCGTGGAATGACAGATGTAAAATCACACACAAATATTATTTCAGAGCACCTGGTGCTCGACAATAGTCCTTCTTAGTAATAGAGAAGGTGCTCTGGTAAGAGGCGTGAAAGTGCTTCAGTGGTAAGGCTGCTTGTTAAAAGAATTAGAAAGGCAACCTAGAAACAGTGTAAAACAAATTTAACTGAAAGAAGTCACATTTCAGTAGATACCCCATAACTTAACCTACTAGACTACATAGAGCCAGTTGGTTTCTGCGTTCAACAGAGTTGCTGGTTTTACAGCGATAACTCAGAGTCCATCCAAACCACCAACTTTAGACCAGTACTGGATTTGGTGAGTTTGGCTTAGAGCCAGGATATGGGAGACAGTTTTGTAACTTTTAGGTATTTTGTACGTAAGCACAATCACATTAATTCTTTTCACTATTCTACTTTCTGACCATAATTTTCTTAAAAAATTTTTTATGACATTTCTTTACATGTTTCTAAGCAGTTCATGTTGAGCTTTCTTAGCAATTTGTTTGACTTAGCTGTATTGGTTGCATACCTATGGCAGCAAGTGAGGGGGGACCAGGCCAGTGGTCCGTCTCAATCTTTGGTATCTCGTTGGGGTCTGGCGCCTGGGCTGCTGGGAACTTGGAAAACTTGATGATATCTTCTGAAGACTTGCTCTGGGCTGCAAAGGCAGCTGCATCTAGGTGGGAACCAGGGTTGCTTAGCTATGGGTCTGTAAGGCCGTGGTGGTACCACCCCACAGACAGGGTTTCCATTCTTTCTTTAAGTTTCAAAGCTAGAACGTTCTGTGTATCACCATGAACAAACAGCCCAGGAACTTAGCGACAACTCTATTTTCTGACCTCACATCTGAGAAGCAAAACTTCATTCCGGATCTCTTCTGTATCTGAAATACCTGTTCTAGAGCTGTCCTGTCCTATGCTATGTGTATATTTAAATTCAAATAAATGAAATGAAATAAAAAAATGTGTTAACTTAAAAGTCAAGTCTTCAGTTGCACTCACCACAGGTCAAGTGCTCAGTCGTCCCATGGGAAGTGGCTAATGGCATTGCAGATGCAGGTGCAGAATGGGTCTACCAACAAAGAATGCTCCTTTCCTAACTACCAATTGTAAATGCTCTAAGAGTTTATCATTTGAAATTTGAAATGAAGGAGCTAAGTGAAAGGTATAACAACACCATTTGAATGTAGTTGCTAATCTTTAGGAAGATGCCACAAATACATTGATCTGGTTCTTGGAATCCTTTATGTACTTTTTATGGGTCTTTGTGTCTTGGGAGAAATGGAAATGGAGAAACCCACTTCCAGCTTGCAGGAAGTCACTGTAATTTATGGTTGCCATGCAGACTTACTGTTCAAACAACTTTAAAACAACAGAAGCTGCACAGACAAGCAACATTAGTTCACAAAGGCTATGTGTGAGTAGGGGACTCACTGGCTTAGAACCCCAAGTCTAATAGCAGAACTGGAGCAAAACAAACCAGGTTAGCGGTCAGTTCTTGGCTGTGGCGGCCTTTGCAAGTTAGTCTGGGATGTCACTAGGCATCCCAAGGTATATTTATAAAGCCTTAAGTTAAATTCTTTTACTCTTGGGCCCACACAGTTTACAATCTGAAAGTAACCTTTTGAATCATCTCATTGTTTTAGTAACCTGGTTTTCAACTTACTCATGTAAAGTGATTAAAGTTACCAGATAATAAGAGGTAAAGTCTTGGCTGGGCAGGAAGCAGTGTTTTTCAAGATCATTAGCTTAATGAAACACTGATACTAAATCTGCCTCTGTACAGGACACAAAATGTTAGCACAGGAAAGACTCAAGTTTTGCCTCAAAATGAAAAATGCCACTTTTATTCTTCTCTTTCTCAAATGCATCAGGGCATGGGTACTAGTTTGGGACATAATATCTATTTCTTTGACATGGAACTTTAAGTGCTGTTCTAGCTGTGTGACTATTACTTAATAACCACAGGCTGAAAGTAAAGACTTCTGTCAAAATGATTAGCCAATTAATTCCTTCCAAATAAACACTATCTAATCTCTTCAGCATTTATTTATTTTTTGCTATTGTTAGAGAGATAGGGCCTGAAGAGTTAACGTTTAAAGAGATTTTTACATTGCTAAATCTAACTCTGGGTATCTTATTGTTAAAAGAAAATGAAAAAGCATGACTTCAAACAGTACTTACGCATTAGAATTGGTGAAGTCAGTAGTTAAACAATCACATGTTAATGAGTGTGTGGGAAGACATTAAACCATAAAAACAAAAACAGAAACAATGTTAACAAACTTAAAATGCAAGCACATGATGTAAAATCTTGAAAATCAAAAAAGGAAAAAAAATTATAGCCACTGAACCATTACAATACATATTTTCTCTCTTCCTTCTTAGAATTTTTGCCTGAAAGTTTTTCCTTGTACATTTTCAACTTTTTTGGCCTAATTCTTAATGACTTATTACTGTCAACTAGACTCTAAAGGCAGCCTTCAAATTTCCAGGTACAATGTGTGTACGATTTTCTGAAATCACTGGGAGGCCAGTTTTGGCCACCTGTCTGTCTAAGTCACTGTTATTTATGACAGATAAATCCAGAGAGACCTAATGATGGTGGAAGAAAATGTGACTTACAGAAAATATCTATATTCCTAGAAAATGAAAGCACAATTCTAAATCCACTACATGATTCTTAGCTTTTAAGAATTTCACTGGCTCTTACAGATGAGAACACAGAAAGACAAAGCGTTTATGACCATGAACCAGAGCCATACTGGCAAGGTGGGACCAGACTACTGACCTGCCTTAGCCTGCTGTGCCCTGTCTACTACAGGATGCAGACCTCTGCACACCTTGTAATAATTTTTCAAAGGTAGTTCATTTTTTGCTAGTTTTTATTATTCAAATTAATTTAAAGCTCATCAAAATTATCTTAAAGGTTGGTTAAATCATTTAAATGCTATTTTTTTTTTCCTGGGTGACCAGTATTTCCCCTTTTCTATAGATGGACTGATACATGGTTTGATGGGATCAGAAACAGGTTGGAAGCTTCCTGATGGAGCTCTCGATCTCTAGCAAGTCAATTTCATATGTGTCTCTTGTCAGATTATAAGGGCATAATGCACTGGGTAACAAACTTGGTTCACTCTCAAAAGCAAGAGCAGGCAAGGCTTTCAGAAGACAGCAAAAAGGAAGCCAGCTGACTCAGTCACTTAAAAGCTGCGGGGAGGAAAGCGAGTTTTACCATGCTGTTTGTAGATGGGTGGTTTTCGGTAAATGTTGATCCCTTGATCTGTGGGAATGAAAAGCAAAGGTGTGAGATTTTGGGAGCCAGTTCCGAGAGGGGGAAAAAAACAAAACAAACAACATCAACCAAGGGACAAAGTAAAAAAGAAGACTCTTGAACAAAAATAACCCAGAGGGCTAACCTTTGCATTACAAAGACTGAGTACACTGGAAGAAGGACTACAGAAATGAGTCAAGTACACACGTGACATGGAAGCCTTTGTAATACATCAGAGCACATACGGAGATGTCCCTTGTTCATGAGCCATTTATTTCAAATACAGGCTTCACTGAAAGTGAGATTAAAACAGGACGAGATGCACGCACGCAGTGGAGATGCTTGTATGGTGAGGAAGACATAACCAGTTTGGGGAAAAACAACCCCCAAATTGCTACTGTCTAGAAATTGAGCTTCCAGACGTTACCAGTGGCTCAATTTACTGTTTCAATTCATGAGTGGAACAGTGGAGAGCAATGTGAAAAAAACTAAGAATAAAGTTTAAAAATATAGCAATGCCGTTTATGCGCAAGACTACCCCCATGTGCAGATGGGATGTCAACAAAGTCCTAATCCAGACAGGCCAAAATTTGGTTAAGAACTAAGAAAGAAAAAGAGATGTAAAATACCATTCACAGGTTTGTACAGGACTCTACTGGATATACCACTTTACTTTGACTGAAAACACTCAGGTAATTTCAAAAGCTCTCTGTTAGCTCAGAATCTTGGGTACTGTATCTTGGTGAGGAATTCTTTAGATGAAAATCTCCAAATGTAGAATAATGATTGTTCAAGTTTTCAATGAAAACTTTTTAAAAGGGAAGTCCTAGCTAAGTGGTCCCAGCTCACTGGATTCACTTCTGTTTTACAGGTAAGTTGAGAATGTAAAAGTAAAACATTAATATAGATTCCAAGTATACATACTTATATTAACACAGTAGCTAATTTATGAAATGGCTTTTGGTGGTTAAAGGAAGCAAAATAACATACGTCTGATAGAAAAACAGTGTTGTGACTTCAGATCTCAGATGGTCAATCCCTCTTATAAATTGAGCAGACCCTAAATGTTAGGATATTGATGGGTTCTGGGTTTTCCAGTTTCTGAAGACAAATTATTATTTGAGCTATGGCAGCTAGTGCTTGTGACTACCAGAGCAAAGCTTGCAGCACCAAGCCTAAATTGCAAGATATTTCTTTGGGTTGTGGAGGTGACTTGTGGGGACACATTGTAGAAACACCACCCAGCTGATCTAACGGTGCAACACCCTGAAAAGTCCATGGGGAAAAGTCCTGCTAGAGACACACAGGAAATACGAGAGGATTCTCAGTTGATACTGTGGTTCAGTCTTTGGGGCAAGAGGAGAGCCTGGTGGCTCCTCTGAGGGTTTGTAAGGGACAAGGAACCACAACCTGACAGAAGGCATGGATACAAAAATTAAACTTTTAACAAAGCAAAGCAAAACGCAACACTCAGTCCCTCTTGTTTGTCCTCTGCCTCCCAGTCTTTTCAAGGAAATCTGAAGACTGGGCATGTGGCTCAGTGGTAGAGCACTTATCTGGCATTCCTAAGGCCCTCAGTTCAATGCCCAGCCATGAAAAAATATTTTTAATTGAAAATATAAGTCTTTAATTTGATCCTGCCAACTTCACACAGAGAACCTTTGGAAGCCCTGTAGGTCAGATCCTGCAATTTAGTGTTTGTCAACTGTGTGTATCCCGATGAAGGAGCGTGAGAAATGGAGACAGACGAGGTCACAAGGCTACATTCTACACCGTGACAGGACACTGAGACACACCATGTCAGCTCCTACCTGGAACATGGAAATGTTTAGGGGCTTGAGCATAAGTTGGAGTTAGAGGGCGGCTGTCGGGCCGGTAAGGGAGAGGGGAGTTCCGGCCGCTGGACGGCTCATTGCCTCCAATGAGAAGAATGGAGAAAACAAAATGAGAGAGGGGAGAGCGGTAAAGAAAACCAAACAAGCATAATCCAAATTCAACCCAACAAACCAGAAGGAAGGGAACATCAGAAGGGAGAAACAAAGGAAACAAACTCAGTTTGTCAACTTGGCTGGCAAAGGTGGTGTCAGATTTAGTTGTCCAAAGGGGAGATTTGTGCTCAGGTGGAACGAGGTTCAGAGCAGCCAGCAATCATGGATGCATCATTCCAATGGCATGCAATTGAGGCTATGAGCTTGAGGCAAACCCATTAGATTGTGAGTACGTTGGGAGAAAGGGAAAGCCACTGGCGACTGATTCAGGATCAGTTGTCAGATACTGAAATTCCAAGCATGTAGATGGATGGGTGGGGTATGTAGGCCCTAACTCCAAGGAACAATTGCTTCCAGGCACGATGGCAGAGGCTGGCCATGAGAACATGTTTCTCTGAACTTGGAGCTAAGTCTGAGAACCCCAGTAGTCACCCGCTCTGTCCCCTTGGGATATAGAGTGCCTTCATTGCAGCCTATGTTTCTGTTTGCCTTGCTCTGAAATGCACAAATGGAGTCACACCTTTTCCTGCCAGGCACTTGGGAACCACTTAGACCTCTTTCTCTGTTCTCTTCCAAGATGAATTTCCACACGAGGCTCCACCTGGCTTCAATCATTAACACCCGAACTGAACACCCAACTTGGTTAGGCACAAATCAGGGAGAGAGCTAGATTCCCGCCTCTACCTCCCCGTCAGAATCTCCCTACCCTGGTACTGTTACACCATGTAACTGCTCACTCAGAGGTCTGAGATAAAAGCTCAGGAAGGAGATGCAGGTTTGATCAGTTCTTTAGGAAGCTCCTTTGGGCTGGCATCAGAGAGGAAGCCCGCAGAAGAGTTGGAAGGCGATAGTCAAGTCCTAAGACATCATGAACCAGGATGAGGCAAGGACTACTGGACTAGTTGAAAATGGGATCTGGAAAAAAACAGTGCTCTCAGAGGAGACAATGGTGATGGGGCTGAAATGGAGGCTGGAGCTTGCTGCAAAACCCTCACATGCCCCTCCCCTTGGCTGCTGTTTAGAGGAACGCAGGGAAGAACAGAAGGTTGTGCCAAATTGGGAAGAAATTAGCGTCTAGCCTAATCTGGGCAAGTAGTGCATTCTAAAAACACATTAGAACGTGGAGGGCTATCAAAATCTATATTATTATTATTGTTATTTTGGTCTTTTTTTGAGGCAGGGTCTCCCTGTAGCCCCAGCTGGCCTGAAACTCACTATGTAGACCAGACTGGCCTCGAACTCACAGAGATCCACCTGCCTCTGCCTCCCAAGTGCTGGGACTAAAGGCATGTGCCACCACACACCACACATGGCTAGCTATGTAATTATTAAAGTGATTTACTTTCACTATTGAGTATTAGATGTTTTTATTCTGGATACAAATCCCTTTTTGAACATCCTTAAGTGTTAGAAAACTATTATGAGTAATTCACAAATAAAAAAAAAACAGAATAATTATTTTTGAGACAAGGTCTCCCTGTAGCCCCAGCTGGCCTGGAACTTGCTATGTAGACCAGGCTGGCCATGAACTCACAGAAATCCACCTGCCTCTGCCTCCCAAGTGCTGGGATTAAAGGTATGTGCCACTATGACTGGCCAGAACAGAGTAGTTCTTAGGGGTAGTCATCAAAGAAAGAATAGAGGAGTCCCACTTTCCTGCTTTAATTATCTCTTAAAGACTGGGTAGCCTGAGCTCTGGCTACTGTCACTTTGTCACACTATGCCCTGCCTTTCCTGTCACCTATAACCCTCATGTCCTTGCAGAACATTAAAGAGTTCAGGAATATGTTCTCACAGGTTTAGTTCTAATACCTAGTCGAATCAAAATCCAGAAAACCCATCTTGACAGGGATTAGCCAGTGTCATACCCACATTAAAACACCAGCATGTATGGGTCAGAGGTTGAAAGTTGCTAAAATTTGGGGCTGGGCACAGTGGCACAAGCTCTGTGTGTGTGTGTGTGTGTGTGTGTGTGTGCAGATGCACGTGCCTGTGTATGCCTATGTGGGGGCGGGAAGTCTTCCGGTGTCTTTCTCTATTACTTTCTGCATCTTTTTTCTTTTGGAGACAAATTCTCTTACTGAACCTGGAGCTTGTCATTTTGTCTAGGCTGGCTGGCCAGTGAACCCCTAGGATCTGCCTACCCACTGCTGGTTACAGGCATGCACCATCACATCTGGCTTTTGCATGGGTGCTAAGGATCCAATCTGAGGTCCTCATGCTTGTACAGGAAACACTTTACTCACAGAACTATTTCCCCAGCCCCTTGACTGGGACTTTTGAAATTTATGTACACCTCTTGCCCTTTGTCCCTATTCTTTCTCGATTTAAACCCAAAGCTTTATTGGTACCCCAAAGATGGACTTAGGGATCACTGGACACCTTTATGTATTGCTCTTCCAAATGTGTTGACTAAATCTCGTTTCTCTGCTTTTCATCAGTTGTCTCTTTAAATGATGTATTGGTAAGGGTAGCCATGCCTAGCTTGTTGGGGCCACCACAGCAGGGACTCTAAAGCCCTGATGATATAACAACTCTCATACACCACAGTGGCTCAGTGGAGAATAAAGTCTCTGGTAGATGATGAACCAACTTTTATCCACTGAAATACTAAAAGTTGGATATATTTGGAGGGTATTTCAAAAAATATTTTATTTATCAGAGGGACATAAAGGACACTTTTTGCTCCTTGCCCTCTTAGGTCGACTAGTTCCAGGGGACTACGAGCATCTCTCAAAATATTCTATAATGGTGGTGGGTCACCTGTCCTCTTGATCAAGGAGGCCGAGGAGACCCCACCAGATGGACTTGAACCAGTGTCCAGTCTACAAAGAGGAGGGTCAACACAGAGGAATCATTTTCTCCACGCTTCCAAGTGAAGCCAGCCATGATCGAGCAGGACCTTTGACTTATCTTCACATAAGTGGAACTGGTAAAAGAAAGGAGCCAGGAGCTCCTCCCAAGCCCATGTGACCTCTGAGGAACAGATCCTCAAAGGACCTTAAGAGTAAAAATAGATTAGTTTATCTGGGCCAAGTGTATGGCCTTAAACACCCAAAAGGAAAGTATAACCAAAGATTAAAGGGGCCAATATAATTTTTAAGTGTCCATATGTATAGCTAAAAGCTACATAACAAGCAACAATGCCAGATAGGAGATATCTTCTTTTGAGCTGTTGGCCAGGGTGGCCAAAGGGACTCCCATACAGTAACCCAAGTTCGAACTGGGAAAATGAACAGCAGACCCCAATCTTATCTAAAGGTGGACAATAACAGGGATGACAAAGTATACGGGTCCATGGAGGGGGGAAAGTTTATGGGGGCTGTCATTTGGGATGTGGGTATGTAGATGAATAAGATTGTTTGTGATGTTCTGTATGAAAAACACAAAAAATCAACAAATAAAAAATTTGTTATATTTGAGGAAGAAGCATAAAAATTTGCTTCATGTTAATTAGTAGAGGTGAAAAATACTACCATTAAAATCTACCTGATGACCTTATATCCATGCTCAGGTGCCAAGGATCTCAGAAAGTAACCGACTCTGACTAGTAATACTCAGGTACATAGAGATTAGAGATGCATATGCAAACATCTAAGTGTTGGTAGCATTAAAAATGATATTGTTTTCTGTATGAAACAATATATTTTAAAATGAAATGCAGATGTTTCTTAAAGGTTAAAACCTCATTCAATTTTATGTCTTATGGGCTTTATACAGAGTTCAATATTGTATAACTGTATTAATTCAACTGTGAACCTAAAAATTTACAGTCAATTTTGAAAGAGATATATCTTAGCTCTGGAAATTGTTATTGAATATGTCAATGCTGTTGTAATGAAATGTTTCTTCTAATTATATGGTTATTAAATAAATAATTTAAAAAATATTTTATTTAATGTGTATGAGTGTATTGCCTGCATATAGGTAAGTGAACCTATGTCATGCAATGCCCACGGAGGACAGAAGAGGCCACTGAATCCCCCTGGGAACTGGAGTTACAGACAGTTGTTAGCTGCCGTGTGTGCTGGGATTTGAACCTAGGTCCTCTGCAAAAACAACCAGTGCTCTTAACAGCTAAGCCATCTCTCCAGCCCTGGAGGGTATTTTTGAAAGAAAGGGGAAAAAATTCTCCAAATGAGGTCTCTTTTCTAATATAATCTATAAATTATATAACTTCCAACTCTGGCAGGAAGCAACCCATGGTAGCCCCCAAGACGTTTTCTGCTTAGCTCATCACCTTAACAAAGCAAATGACAAAGCATCAGAGGGAGCATCGTCCTTGGATGATATCTCTACTGCCATCATCACTGTCCACCAGCCTGTTCTCAGTGATCTTAGTTACTGCGGTGAGAAGCTAGTGCCATATTGACATTTCTTGTCCCTAACTTTCAGCATCTTCCTTCTAAGCCAAACTGTTAGTCCTTGGGAGATTGTTGACTTGCAGGATTCTCACTCTACTTATGAATTCAGATGCTTTCCTGGCTTTCATTCTCCTTTTTGGTACCATGAGCGCCTTCATGACTACTTCTAGGGAGTGAGTAAACATGGAGGTAAACAAGTCTGTTTGGGTTACTGTGCTGGAGTACAGCCAGGCTTTCAGGACTCTGCTTATATCCTAAAACATAAAGTGCCTATGGGGCTGGAGAGATGGCTCGGTGGTTAAGAGTACGTACTTCTAGAGCGCCTGATTTGTTTCCCAGCATCCAAATCAGGGGGCTCACAGGAACTGTCACTGTAGTTACTGCCTGTAACTGTCAGGTACTCCTGTAACTGACGCCTGTGACCTTCACAGACACCTGCATTCACATGCATATACCCCCATGCAGACATTAAAAATAATACATTTTTATATAATTTTTTATTTATTTTTATTTTATGTGTTTGAGTGTTTTGTCTGCATGTATGTAAGTGCACCATGTGCATGC